TATGTAAAGTAAGAGAATATGTCATTATGGGCGTGGCAAATCCTAAAATAGTTCAGCCAGCCTTCTCTAAGCCCTGAATGAGTATTCAGCAGTCGGTGCAGCCCGACAGCAACGTTCTCACTCGTTTTTTTATGTGTGTCACTCGAATAAATGGAAGTACGCACACTTATGAGTGTGTGTGAGCATGTGTGTGTGCGTGTTTGTATGCGAGCAATCAGACAGCTATCATCATCTATTGTAGCTCTCGCTCCCACTCTCTCCCACTCTCTCCCATTCTCTCTCTCTCCCATTCTCTCTCTCACTCTGTGTTTATGGATAATCAAAACAAAAACACTTGCTTTGTTATTGTAGCGAAACAGTTTTATTTTGAAAACAAAAGCAGAGCCCACTTGAGCTTATGCTCAGCTCGCCAGGATAACCTAATGCGATAGTGTGCGAGCATATGCCACGTGTGTACCCAGTGTCCCCAATGGCCGCAAAGGTGCGACAGAGGGTAAATAAACCAACATATACAAATACATATATATATATGTATATACATATATAAATTCCATCCAAGTACGTGAATTAAGCTGCTCTACATAAATAATGTATTTATCAAATATTTCAGGCCTGAGAAATCATTCGATCCGTAAAATGAATAAATGAATAAATATAATCATAAAGCTGATTGCAATGCGGTATTTTTTCTATTCTCTCTCTCTCTATCTCTCTCTCTCTCTATTTAATGTCTGTCGCAATTTAAGATATCAACATTTTTTCAGTTAAACATAATGCAGCTTTAGAGCATTCGAAAACTATGCAGGTTAATTGAAAAGTTCTATAATTAAATTATTAAAAAATTTTGATAAAAAAAATGTTTAAATATCTCGTAAATTTTATTTTATATATTTTTTTTTTTTATATTTCATATCAATTTTCTTATATATAAAATTAAATGCAATAATAAAAATAGCTCTTATAAATCCTATTTTATGTGTCACGAGACCATCACAGATTTTTGTTGACCATCTCAAATTTGTTGTAATTTTTTCTACCCAACAATGACAATATTTACTCGGCCTAAGCAAATGTTTTTCTTGTAAAAACATGTCAAACAGAAATCTTTGATGGACTCTTGATGCAGTGATAAATATTTTGGTAGATGAGCTAAGCAT